GGGTTAGGCTGGCGCGGCTGGGCTGCTGCGGCATGGAAGGGACGGCGAGCAGCAGCGGCTCCTCCTCCTCGGTCGTGGCGGACTGGAGTTTGGTGTTTTGGACGCTGTGCTCTGTGATCCTGCCCGTGCTGATCACCTTGTGGTGCAGCTTCCAGCGGTCCCGGCGGCAGGTGTTGATACGAGACATCTTTCGCAAGAGCAAGCATGACTGGCACTACACATACCTCTTCGGCCAGCCCTCCTACTGCTGCGTGTGTGCTGAGCACATCCTTCGGGGTGCCTTCTGCAACTGCTGCGGGCTGCGTGTCAGCGAAGCCTGCCTCAAGAAGGCTGACCAGCTTTTTCTCTGCAAGGAAATTATGATGAGGAGCAATGGTGCCCACAGCTCTATGCCGCACCACTGGATCAGGGGCAATGTCCCACTCTGCAGCTGCTGCATGGTATGCAAACAACAGTGCGGCACACAGCCCAAGCTCTGCGACTACAGGTACTGCAAGGGAATTTGAATTTTTATGAGAAAGTACAGTGCTATATCAGTATTATATTTTCTGCAGAGTTATTGGAACACATCGCCCCAAAGGAGATCCCGCAGTAGTCAAATACAAAACTTGAATAAAAACAACTTCAACGAATCTAAAATTAAAATGGATGCTTTGGGGTAATTTGAGCTATAGATTAAGAGTATGGCATTGCATCTTGTGTCTGCTTGTTCTCTTAGTTGCATTACTCCAGCATGATGTGCTGGTTACTGTATAATTACATATAAAAGGTTCTCTGTGTCCAAGAAAGTTTGTATTTTAGGGGATGATCTTAGAAAGGTTCTAATGCACTTGCCATTTGTACAGTGGATAGCCTGAACAATTTGGCTGGCACAGCTCACAGTCAGGAGCACCAAAACGTGTATGCATCTCTGCAAACTTGGCTCGATGTAACAAACGGCTGTCTTATAGCTGGTTTAAGTTCATTTTTAAGGATGCTCAGAAAAAAAGATAAGGGGAAATCTTAAAAGCTACTGTAATATAATTTACTGTTGAAGTTTGTGGTAAGAGTGTTAAAAAAATGTCAAGGAACCGTTAAATGGGCTTACAAAGTTGTCAGTGTGACACGTAGTGGCACTTTATGCCAAAATAGAGTGCTAGTGGTCCAGGTCCTGGGCACAAGGCAGGTGTTACTTCAGTCTTCTCAAAGGATTTTTCCGCTTTGCTTTGCTTCTGTGTGGTACTGTCAAATTACTTGGTAAGTAAGCAGAATTATAGTGTAGATGAGCATACCATCAGAAGTGAAACCTTGATAGAGAATGTGCATAGGGGAGGAGGGAAGGAGAGGATTTTGGAGGCAAAGAATGAAGAAGAGGAAAAGAAGAAAGTCACAGTACAGTGCAAGTATCATTGCTGCTCTAGTCGTGTGCTGGATTAGTCAGAAGAACTCCAAAAATAGCTTTCACAGCTGCTTAAACCAAGGCTTTGGATGTAGCAAATGAGCATCGACGTTCTGCAGAGGCTGGCAGTGGATGCAGCAATATTTCCTCTTGTTCTAGTCTGTTTTCCAGGACAGCTTTTATAACAGGTCAAAAAGCTGAGCGGTTTCACGTGACAAAATCCCATCAGCCTTGTACAGTGCCATGTAACCTTTTAGGTTTCAGACTTAAAGGGGTATTAGCAATCTTAAGACGTTTATTAATTAATGTTACTAGTAACACTTATTGCACTGAACTCTAGTCTTTGTGCTGTGCTCCTTAAGGATGGATAGGAGTTCAGTTTCTCATACAAGCTCTCAGTGTAATTTAATATTGCAGACAGTGCAAGAGGATATTTATAACACCTTGTTTTGGAGTTAAAAAGAATTAATTTAAAACTGTTGGGTTTTTTTTCCACAGAATTCAAATGCTTTTCTAGACTTGCACACACATGAACAAAGTAGGCAATTTTCTGTAGCCAGTACTTAGTCATGCAAATTTCCAGGGAATGCAGTTTTTTCTCTGTAATGTGCTTAAAATATTACTTACAATGCTGCATGTAAACATAAGGACTTCTCAGAAGTTAGTCTATCTAAAATAAATGAGGAAGAATGAAGTGCCTGTTGTTTGAGGACTTTTTCATGGGTTTTGGTCTTTTTTCCAGATGTGTGTGGTGTCAGTACACTGTACATGATGAATGCATGATGGATTGTTTAAAGACTGAGGAGTGCACATTTGGAGAATTCAGAGACTTGATTATTCCACCATACTACTTGTCTACAATCAACCAGATGCGTAAAGACAAAAGGACAAATTATGAAAAGGTAATTGTCTACTGCTTCTTGGTTTTATAATGTATTGAAAAAAGAAAAACAAACAAAAAAAAACCCAACCAGCCACCCCACACTTGAAAATTTGAACTCAGTACATTATAAGGTTAATAACTATCAGGTAAATGTTTCAATGAATATGAAGTACTTGCAGTGTTGATTTGGAGGTGTTTGTCTTTTATCAACTTGGTAGTCGAAGCATCAGCAGGCATTTGGATTTTGTTATTCCAAAACAACACTGGGATTTGTGTACCCCACTTTGAACATTTCTGTGATTTTTTTTTTTTTTTTCTACTACTGTGTTCATAACATTGTAGTGTTTGTTTTAGACAATGTAGAACAGAAATCTTCAACCTTGGTGTGTCAGAATTATTTGTTTCTGTTTTGACTACTTCAGACTAATTGGTCACTTCGTCATTTCAGCTCTTACAGGGGACATATTTTGGAGCAAGGCTTTAAACAGTTTTAAATGTGCAGTATTTGTGTTACTGACTGACTTTCACCTTTTCGCAGGTAGTACCTTACTGCAGAAAACACTGGATGCCAGTAATCATACTGGCTAATACTCGTAGTGGAAACAACATGGGTGAAACTTTGCTAGGAGAATTTAAAATTCTGCTGAACCCTGTTCAGGTATTTACAGTGAAAAGCCACTATATTAAATAAAAGTTTAAATTGGAATAAATACCACTTTGCTTACACAATGGTGATAGGATCTTGGGGAAGATTGGTAAAGAAAACAAATTCATGCAGTTTGTTCTTTTGGAAAGAGTATATAGAGAGACCAAAAGTGCAGAGGCTCCTCCCACCCCCAAGTTTGTTGTGGTTCTAATACTGGTCCAATTTTTTGTTCATAGTAATACATGCAGTAATCCTGTTAATGAGAAGTATCTGGCTCTTGAAATAGCGTGCAGTTTTTAGAAAATGAACTGTCTAGATCTTCATAATTTGAAATCTGTATTTGTTTAAATCCTCACGTTACTTGTGAAAACGTCAGTGTTTACAGTTGCTGCTTTGTGTTGACGCTTTCCCCTTAAAATCCACTGGGATGGCACAGGATGCTGACGTAAGGCAGTCAGTTGTTCTTGGATTTCCTGGCTGCACCTTAAGACTATTCCTTTGAAGTCAAAACCCAGCCTTAGAATGCAGCCTGATAGACATCACTGTGTGTTTGGTTTAAATGCATCCCAATCAGGCTTTAAAGAATAAACCTCTTTGTATGCTGAGTATTTAAAAGTAACTTTTATCTGAAGTCTTTCATCTTTACAGGATTTATCATAATGCCTCTAGATACAGACTTTTCTTAGGACTCTTGGCAGCTTTTATCAATGGCATTTACACCTAATGAAGCAGCAGGAGCTCTGTTGTGAATTTGGGAAACCAAATCCTGCTCAGAGAAGTCAAGACAGCTCGTTTGCTAATGTAATATTGTAAATGGAGAATCTTTGTTTAGCATTAGAATTAACTGTGTTAAGTTGTTTATCTGTGAGGCAAACCCTGAATCATGTTCCGTGAACTTACAGAACTCCTTATTTTCTTTTCTTCTAGGTTTTTGATCTAAGCAAAATTGCACCTGCTAAAGCACTCCAACTTTGTACCTTGCTGCCTTGCAATGCTGTCAGGGTTCTTGTCTGTGGTGGGGATGGCACAGTAGGCTGGGTCCTGGATGCAATTGATGAAATGAAGATAAAGGTATTGTGTTTTAAATTAAAAGATGTCTTATAATGAAGTGAGTTTTGGAGCTGCTGAAGTGCTATACCTATCTCTTACCTGCGTTTATTGTTTTTATCTTCCTGAATAAGCCTACAAAGAAATATTTGCAGAATTGCTTATTTATATTGAGGAGGGGAGAGAATGCATCTTGTTATGAGTCTCTGTAGTTCAAGAAAAATATAAAAGCTTCAGCTTTTATGTATAGTTGTTCTTTTCTGTAAAACAAGAAAAGAACAAGCTGCAGAATATTTTATGCATTTTCTTTCCTCTTTGTCTAAACAGATTTATTTTGTCATAAATGGCATCGCTAATAATAGCTAATGTGTTCTGAGTGGATATTTCTCCCAGCATGCTCAGTCTCTTATAATAACCTCATCATTTTGCTGGCTGTACTGGTTATATTGCCAGAGCACGAATGAGTGCAGTAATTTGCTTCTGCTCTTTATCACATATTCTAAAGAGTCTGCCAGTCTGTAGCCTCACCTATTCACAGCAAGTAGAGAAGCAAAAAATAAGCTGTATGTTTACTGTTGATTTGAAATGGAAGGTATTCAAGTTTACAGAGTATTACTAAGAACTCTAAAAAAATTGAGTGAAGAATAATTACTAGGGCTTCAGTGCTTTACCTAATAAATTTTTTGTCTGGTGATAAAGGGCAGAAAGTTACTCTTCTTATATAACTGTCTTTTTTTTCCCTGCAGCTTTCTTGTTAATACATGAAATTTTGTAGTTGAAGTCCATTATTATAACCATGCATAGTCAAACTGAGGTTCTTAGAGAATTTTATTTACTGATAAAGTAGAAATGCAACAAAGTGTAACTATAAAGGTTAATGAATATATGTTTACTTGGTGTTGGATATTTGATATATTGTCCCTCAGAGCCCATATAGTTGATGAAATCTGGGTCCTTTGTTTTTCCAAGTATTCAGACTGAGTCATTGGAGTTACATTAAAAACTGTTGGTTATCAACAAAACCTTTTTATTATCAGCATTAGGTTATTTGCTCCTGTCATTTATCTTGACTCTCAAATACAGGTTACCTGGCTGATAATCCTTCTTGAAAATATAGTAACGACTTACTCCAAGTAGTTTTCACAGCTGAATTTGAAAGGCCTAGTACATCTGAAATAACTGTTCGTCCTCTGTGGTAAAGAGAGCACAGACCTTTGCAGAGGTGGCCATTTTGAATGTCTGCCTCTGTCCCTTACTCTGTGGTCTGCAGAGGGGATTCTCATCTGCTCCGTATGTTCATGACGTTGGATCTGTGTGTGTGTGTGTGTGTGTGTGAGATCTCTGAAACTTAGATACTGACTTTCCCTCTTTGAGCATGTGAATTTCTGTCCACGGTTGAATAGTATTATGTGCATCTGTTGTTTTAGAGCTAACCTCACTTCAGTCTGGTGAGAGCGTGTTGGTGTCTGACGGTTCACAGCCTTGTGTGTTCTGTCTCTCTCAGTGTTGGTATCACTTCCCAGAGGTACGTGCAGGAATGGTGTTAGTAACTTACCATGCCTGCAGCAGGTCAGCAGTGTGTAGTCGGGAAATCAGATGAGAAGTTCAGGCTTCCACTTCTACGTCCAAAGCAAGGAATACTCTGTTCAGTATTTAATAATGCATTGTTGCCATGTTGTGTTTGTATTCTCTCTTCTCACAATGGTTTAACATTTCCCTCCTTTGCATTATCCCTACAATAACTACTTTAGTGTGCCATTTGCTATACTAACTCTGCCAGCTCTATTGTTCTGCACTGTGTAACAAGCTGCTGTGAAGATTTATATTTATCTAACCTGAACATCTGGGGATAAAAGGGAGAAAGCGAGTGCTGAAGAAGGAGCTAATATGTAGTGGTTTTGTATCCTAGGGGCAAGAACGTTATATTCCACAAGTTGCAATTTTACCTCTGGGAACAGGTAATGACCTGTCTAATACACTGGGCTGGGGTGCAGGTTATGCTGGAGAAGTCCCTGTAGAACAAATCTTACAAAATGTCATGGAGGCAGATGGAATCAAACTAGACAGGTAAGTAACAGTGAAAAGATAAACTCTATAGAACCAAATACTACTGTAGCTCTACTGATACCCAGTTGCGGCAGTATATGTAAAGAAGAACAAGTATTGCTGGAGGGAACTGCAAAATAGCTGAGGTCCAAAATTAGTCTTTATTTAGTTACTCTACAAAGCTTAACTCTTTCATAATTTAACTAAATTTGAATCTTTTGACTTGATCCCAGATACAAGATTCTGAACTACAGTTTTGATACTGAGTGAGAACAGCCTGTCATGAGTCTAAGTAATGGCTGTTGTTTTTCAGATGGAAGGTTCAAGTAACAAACAAAGGATACTATAACTTAAGGAAACCAAAGGTATGGCTTGCAAGTATAAATATAGATTGTGTGGAATATCTGTATGTTTATTGTTACTTTTCTGGTTACCTACTTCCCATTAAATGTTATGACTTTTAAATCCTAATAGTGATATTCAATAAGACCATAACTAGAAGTTCTGTCTTACAGGTATTCACAATGAACAACTACTTTTCTATAGGACCTGATGCTCTCATGGCTTTAAATTTTCATGCTCATCGTGAGAAGACTCCCTCTCTGTTTTCCAGCAGAATTATTAACAAGGTGTGTTTAGTACAGCGACATTTTCTCCTTGTAGTTGTTGACTTGACTTAAGGCTATTTTTTGCTTTACATTGCCTTACTCCCCTCCTTCCTTTCATGCTGTTTTAAGAGTTTGAACTCCTTTTTCTTGGAGAGGATTCCACGGGTAAAACATGTTTCCAGCCCACTCACCGGTGTTCTGCCTTGCCTCTGCTTGCCTACAGAATATGCTGTTTGTTCAATCTTTGTTCAGAATATCATTTGATTTGAAATTTAATGGGTTAAGGACATTGCCTATTTCCTTTTAAAGTGGAAAGCAAGTTTCCTGGGCAAGTCCTACCCTATCTCAGGAGAAAGTATAGTTGAAAGATGTGCACATACGTTACATGAATCTTTTAGATAAGGTTTGCAGAACAATAACTGTATATGACTCTTTCAAATAGTCTTCATATGCAGTGTCTTTCTAACAGTGTTTTCTGTTCTCCCTGTTTTGTTTTGGTTTTTTATAGGCTGTTTATTTTTTTTATGGAACCAAAGACTGCTTAGTACAAGAATGTAAAGATCTTAACAAAAAGGTTGAGGTAAGTTTTTTAACTTGCTTATTCTCTGGGCAATCAGAGGAGCATAAAGATTTACCTTGTGAAAGGGAAGGGGAAAAGCTTTGCAGTTTATACCTATATGATATTTGTATAAGGGTGACTCTGGACTTGGAATAGTTTTGATGTTCCTTTTGCTATCTGCAGCTTGCTTCATGGAATTAATGTCTTTAAGCTTGCTGAAAACTTCTAAATTTTTTTCTGGCCTTGACTCAGTTCTGTAAGTTCAAGTACTGATATTCAGATAAAATTTGCCTTAGCACCAGGCACTTACGTAAGTGAGAGTTCCTTTTTCTTTATTAACAGAAATTTATTACAGCTTAGGATATGTTGTGAAATCAGAAGGGGTTTTTTAAAAGTATGAAAAGAAAACATGTTCTGTTTGTACCGGGCCAGTTTTTCTTCAAGTGAAAGCCTATTAAATGCATAAAGAGAATAACTAGCTTATATTGAAGTACTGAATTTTGTCCACAGTAATTAACTTATGTTTGTCTTTTAAAGCTAGAGTTGGATGGTGAGAGAATTGAGTTACCCAATTTGGAAGGCATCATTGTCCTGAACATTGGATACTGGGGAGGTGGCTGTAGGCTGTGGGAAGGAATGGGTGATGAACCTTACCCCTTGGCAAGGTACACAGTGCATCTTTTTCTTTTTCTTTTTTTTTTTTTCTTTAGCAGTTCTTGTAGTGTAGGCAGTTCCCTCCAGCGGGCTGTGCTTATGTAGCCAGACTTGTCTGAAAGTCAGAAGGATTCCTTGTGACAGCAGGCTATCTCAGATTTTTTTATTTTCCTCATGTTAGAGTCTTGGACTAAGTGCATCCCACACATCAAGTTCGTTTTAAGACCTTCTCAAAATGTCTGGCATGATTAAGCAATAGTGTTGAAGAGGCTTCTAAAAATAAAGGTAGTCTTCAAAAAGTAGAACATACATCCAGTTCAGAATATAAGAACACATCTTAATAGAGGTTAAAATATGAAGTAAAACCAAAGCAAGCAAAAAATTTGATTCCCATGCTTGAGTAAGTTGGCTGAAGTAATATTAAAGAGGGGAATAGGTGGGTACATTAGTTATTCCTTCTTATGACGTCCTTCAGAAGCCAGATATATAAATATGCTTCATAGTTCTGTTACAAGGCTTATGATCCTGGCTTTCTAAAAAATATTTGGGCAAGGTCCTTTACCAAAATCTAAAAAATAAGCCATTGAAAGATTTTCCTGTAGATTAATAACTGAGTGAAAAGAGAAAATTCTACAAATTTAAGGCCTACAGTGGATTTCTCTTCCATATGCATGACAAGCCTTGGAAAGTCATACATCCATCGCTTCTGGAAGCCAGCTAGGGTGTACCAGCTGCTGTACTGCTCCATACTTGCATTTTTGAATGGCTTCCTTTGCTGTTCACTGTGGTTTGTTGTTCAGCACAAGTAGACAGTTCAAACATATTTGTAGAATAACATTTGTCTTCTCTATAGAAATAGCCATGAAAGAACTATGTTATATTTGGAGAGGTATTCTAGAGCTCATGAGCATCGCTAAAAAGAGTCTCCTTCCTTAATTCATAGACATGATGATGGACTTCTGGAAGTTGTTGGTGTTCATGGTTCTTTCCACTGTGCCCAGATTCAGGTGAAGCTAGCAAATCCTGTTCGCCTAGGGCAGGCACATACAGTAAGGGTAAGTGGTGTTCATGAACCTGTCTCCCTAAATATTTTTTTAATACACAGTATAGAATCTCAAGCACTCAGCTGTCTGATCCAAAGTTGCAGTTTGCAGTTGAGCTAGATGGTTCTCTTGCTTAGTAAAAATTAATGATGTCATAATTCACAGTTCTCTTGAATTTGTCCTCAGTTGCTGTGGTTGGTGGCCTATGAGTGCAACTAATTAAACACAAAGTTTCTCCCTGGCCAGGCTGAAACCCTACAGCATCAGCATGTTGTAGTTGTAAAAGGTATCTTCGGGGTACTTTGAACTGCTGTGATTGTGTGTTCTTCTGTTTGGTACCAGCTGATCCTGAAGAGTTCAAAGATGCCGATGCAGGTGGATGGAGAGCCGTGGGCTCAGGGGCCCTGCACTGTTACCATAACTCATAAGACACATGCACTGATGTTGTATCACTCCGGTGAGCAAACAGATGATGACGCTTCCAGCGTGTCCGAGCAAGACCACATGAGAGAACAGACGGATGAAGATGTATAGATTTTGCAGAATTTAGTGTAATACAGTGATGAACTTCAGCTCATTAAAACCACTGAGAACATCTACTCTAGATTAAGGTTTATGCCAAAAGGTTCATATGTGTGAATGAACTAAAACTGATGAAAAAGCCATGCTTTTATGTTCATGAAAACTCACAGCTGAATTACCACAACTGTTTTGCCTTTTAGATTGGTGGTGATGCCCAGCCTTTCTAGCTGGAGGAGCTGATTAATGCCAGGAAAGAGACAGCTACTGCAGCTTTCCTTGCTGTGGAATCAGATCTTCTGCACACACCCAGTATAGTATGCAAAATGTTTGATATCCTTGGGAAGGGGAACAGCTGGGAGTTCAGCCTGCTTCCACCTGCCCTCTTCCCCAGAACAGAAAACCAGACCAAGTAGGATGTGGGCTGATTTTCTGACAACAGTCTGCTCCTGGCTGACATCTCTTCTTGGGAGCATGACAAAAATACTTTTCTGTGCACCTGCTTGTTGCAGTGTATATGTAATAGGCTCAACTGGGAGAGCACAGGGTCTTGGAGAGATGGTTAGCAAGAAAGATGCATTTGGACCAAAGGTTTCTGGAAATGTTCTGTTAGCGAATGACCTTTTTCAGTGGCTTTGTAAGCCATAGATGGGAGTACTCTTGGGGTCCTGAGTACCCAAGATACAACTTCAGAATAATTGTACCATGACTTGCACTGAATGATCCTGTGACTGACTGCTTCAGTTCAGTGAGATACTAATTCTAATTTTTGTAAATAGCAACATCGTAGTTCTTGAGGAGGCTTTCTGGAGGAAAACTTGGACAAAGGAGCTGTCTTTTTTAGCTGTTTAGAGGAGGGTTATGATTGGCAAATGTGGGGGGTTTTTTAAAGGCTTGTTAAGGATCTTGCTTCATAATTACCTGAAAATGATCAATAGTAAGTCAGTCTGTTAACTATTTCAATTCTAAGTGTAGAGGTCAAGAGCTAAGTTTGCAGAGGTTAGCAAGTTCTGGCACTCATGTCTGATCTGATTGTGGAAAAAAGCATGGAAGCTTATTTTCTGACTGGCTCTTAGGGGGTCAAAGATACTTTGTTGGACCTGAAACTTCATTTCCCATACAAATATAGGGTGAGAAAAAGATTGGTGGTTTATACTGATAGAGGTTAAGAACACATCCAACAGTACATGGAAACTGTCAGTCTGGCATATCTGAAGCTTCTCAGGTTAAAAGCTTCTCAGGTGAAAACATCCTCATTGTTAACTGAAGTAAAAAACAGCTTCTTTTTTGTTTTCTGTTGGTATTTTAAGCCTGCAGCAGGTGAGAGCTATGAATTTGTCACCAAGTAATTCAGTGAGGTCCAGCTGAGTTACCGAAAGTTATCTTCCAAGTAGGAAGAGGATTTGTGCTGAATGTATACTGCATAAGCCAAGATCGTAAGGGAAGTTTATAGCTTTGGTCTGAACTTTGAATGCTGCTGCTGCTGTTGTCAAAACTCCCTCAATCTTTTTTTTTTTTCCTTTATGCTAATTGAAAGCGATACCATTGGATAAAGTAGGCTGTGTTTCTAGGTTTTGTAAAATGAAACTGTTTTTCAACAATCTAAAATGATGTTTGCATTAATGGTGAATGAACTATTTATATTTTAAAATAATTTATTGAAACCTTGGCAAAGTCAGTATTTTTAAAACCTTCAATTGTAATCCTCTTTGGAGAGCATTTTTAACTTGATGGTATTCGTTGTAGAAAGTGTATGTACTCAAATCTTAAATACTACTGATTATCAGTGAATTTATAGCTGTCTGAAAATGTGATTAGAGCGTAATGAACTGTAAAGCAGAAGCTGTTTGTAAATTCCATATTCATTAGCCTTATACACCTCATCTTAATTATTTTATTGTATGTAAATATAGAGAACACATTAATAGTTAAATCTATGTAAAAAGTGTTTAAAATACCCAAAAGTATATTATGTTAGATAAATCCACTACCTGTTTTTTAGTTATGAAGTTCAATTTGTATTAGCTTAAAAAATCTTACTAGTTACTAATTTTATTTTAATAATGTCTAACCATCAGCATCCTAGAAATAGTTAAGTTCTGTGCTATGGTTCTTATGTAACTGTTGTTTACAAACAAATTACACTTCTCTGGAAAAGCAGGGTATGTGCTATGAAAGGCAGTATTTTTCTCAAGAGAAATGACACCACTGTCTACTTCATCTAAACTATTCATAATACAGTTTAAAGAGTGACCTGATGTTGATCAGATGATTGTTCAAATGGATCAGATGATTATTCAAATTGTTTAATAGCTTAAGAACCTTAACTGTTCAAAACCCACTCTTTGAACTCCTGGCACCTAGGGGGGGGAAAAAAAAAAAATCAATGCCAAGACTTTGGAAGCCACCCTTTTTTCCCCGTAGATGAGCTGGCTTCTCCACTTGTGCTTTGCCTGAGTGGGTACCAGTGATGTTGTACTGTGTTTGTGCAGGCAAGGTCCTCCCACTTACTGCAGCTTGCTAGGAGTCCAGTCCTAACCCTGTGAAATCTTTTCTGGGAAATGTAAATCCATCATTCCTTTTGGAGAAACAAAGGAGCATCAGAAGTCCAAGTAGCATCTGATTGGGTGCTTGTTTGGGAAAACCCCTGTAAATGGTCTTGTTCTACTGGACAGATCATCCCCTTGCATGTAGAAGTGAAGTTTGTGTTTCACAAATTGACTGTTAGTGATTGCAGCAAATGATGGGTAGCAAATGTAGCCACTGTAAGCATGTGGAAGCATCTTGTAAAATTGTGTTTATGGTTTGGAGAATATTCTGTAGGTTGAAGTGTCTAATTCCGAGTCAGACATGGGGTTATCCTATTGTAACTATGTGTAGCTTTCATGTGCATGACAAAAAAATTTCTTTAAACATACAGCATTACCACTAGACTCTGCTGGGAAGTCTTGCTATTTCCCAGATGCTGTTCTTTGATTTCAATGTATCCTCCTTTCCAGTATGTTGCAAATTGGGTGAAAGCCTGTTTTTAGTTAGTTTTGTGGAACTGTTTTAAGTTTTAGTCCAACAGTAGATGTCAGCAGTGGGCTCCAGGTTCTAATGCTAGCATAAATGAAATTCTTTGATTTGTAATATAGCTGTAGCTGCTTAATGTTGTCATGTGTGTGTTGTGACTGTAAAGCTGTTACACGCTTTTTTAACGTTGTAGGTGCATGTAAAAGTACAAATAGCTATTCTGTAGCTCTGCAAAAAGAGTGGAAACCTGAAAATGCTGCAGTATGTTCTCTATCCAGAAGAGGGTACACTGCAGCTGGATCTCATGTCCTGCACTGAAGAGTATTTCCCTACCCTGTCAATGGTTAACATTGGAAAAATAGTGAAAGTGATGTTTCAAAAAGACAAATATTTAATAGTTTCTTCTGGGAGTCTTCATACAGTATACTGTTGTGTAAAACGTACAGGTGATTAATAACGTCAATTGTCAAGCACTCAAAAGTAAATTCACGAAGTTTATTTTTAAAGTTTTAGTGCTGCATACACTAGCTTAACTCAAGTTTGGTCAGATTCCAATAACTGTCTTTACTGTAAGTTCTCAGTCCTGTGACATGCAATACAAAAAAATACTTGTGTGGAGAGTCCTGTGACCTTCCTGCCTTGCTCACACCTCGCTTGTTTACACACACATTGAGGATGTGTATGTGTATTTTCATCTGCATAGAAGTTCTCCTCATCGGCTTTGTTTTACATTGTGTTTTCACTTCAGCAATTCATAGCAGGGTTAAACTGTTTCAAATGCCACCTGCATTTTGGATCTCTGCGTTTTTAAAACCATGTCTGAAGTCCAGACTTGCAGTCTTCACATACAGCTGAAAAGCATTCACTTGTATTTTTTTTTTCTAAGTATGTCTGGTTTTTCTGGGTTTAAAGCAGGGCAGTGTTTAGAACATGCTATTAACAGCACTTCAGAATTATTGCAGTTATTAAAGAACATAGTCTTGTGTTTTCTTTCTACTGCAATGGCAATATTTCCGTTTAAAATTAATTTGGAATTATGTTCAAATTTGAACATTTTTCTCTGCACTGTTATCAACTGCATCTCATGTTCATAATGTAAAGACTGTATAGCATAATTTATGCATTTGATACTCATTATATGTTCACTTTCAGTGTTGTCCCTTCATACATTTTGTTTTTTTCCCCAGGTCTTGCTCTTTTTAGGCACCAAGCAACTTGAAACACCATAGTGTTGGTCTTAGTTAGAAGCTTTAAATATTTGCTCCTGGAAAACAGACTTGAATTTCTCCTGGTTGCAAAAGAAAATGCTACAACGTTTGAACACACTTTGAGAAAATAATCTTGTTGAGGCAATGATTATAGTAAGAGTAAATTAAGTTTCTTCTGTATATAACTTCTGCTAATTCAGACTGAGAGTTTGTTCACCCATATATTTGTCTTGCAAGTGTTTACAACTACTCAGTAAGTACTTCTTTCCCTCAGTCATGTAATTACTCATTTTATTCTGGCTCACTTTCACCTAAAAATGACATTTTGGACAGTATCAAAAGCTCTGCTGAAATTGGGATAGTGAGCTTCTTTCTTCTTTCCACTTTATCCTTCATGCCAGCTAGCTTGTCAGAAAAGAAAATTGGAATGGCTACACACAGTTTATTCTTAGCTTAGTAACCCCTCTGTTTGGCTTTTTCAGTCACCATCACCACACCTGGAATATATTCCAAAGGTTCCCAGTCCCCCTGACCTATTTTGAAAGTACATTTTTTGCTCTTTGCTGCTGGGGAAGAACTTCCCCATCCTCCACAGGTTCTGAGAACTGATAGTTAAAGGTTTTGGTTTCAGTTTGGCCAGTTCCTTCTGCATTATGTTGCACTGAAACCCACAGCTTTGATAGTGTATATTATTGTATCTCACTGGTTAAAAAAAAAAAAAAACAACAAAAACCCCAACAACAAAACAAAACCACCTTAAACCACTTGTACCTTAGCTGTGAAGGGCATAGTGGTATCAATGTTATAATGGTTACTCTTATACTTGGCAACAAATGCTTTATGGTAGAGCACCACTGTAACCTAGTTAATCTATGGGTAAGAGTAGGACACTTGGGAATCTGCATGTGTTCTGAAAATCCTTTTTTGTTCTGTATTTCATATCTACTAGCAGTTTTCTTCCTTTTAGAAAAGATAAAAGATTTGACCCTTCAGTTAGGAGTATACTGGGATATATACTAGGGGTATATTAGTATGTGACCGATCCTGTTGAATGTGAACCACTTATTTAAAAATGCTCTTTTTTCTGAGCAATGATAGCTGCTTCTTGAACACAGGAATGAGACAACAGAGACCCACTGTTCATTTAGCAGCTAAGCATATTGAGAGAATTTACACATTCTCTATTTCAACTTCATTTAGGCCACAGTTCTAAAAGCACAGCTAGATCAAAACTTTAGCTCACTAAGAGTGCTAAATTCCCAGTTCAGGTTTTGGGCATCTCAGGGAGAGACTTCTAGCTGGAGTAAAGCCACGTGACTTGACTAATCCTAGTGATGTTATGCAGACTTACGTTAGCTGAGGATCCGGCCCTTAACTGTTCAAAAGTATGAATGTATTCAGAATTTTACTTTGTTTCTTGTTAATACTGCTCTGTATACTGTGCTGTATACCCTTATTGCTGTACGTAATTCATTTTTTACATTGTTTCACTTCGAATTTGTTTGTAGATTTCAGAATAGAAATTTTCTTTTTAAGAGTAAGTGGGAACTTGCATTGTGAGTGTATTGGATTCTGTATCTCCAAAGTTTACATCCCTCAAAAGCCATTTTGTCTGCTACCAACTGTTGTAATCCTTAGAGTACCTCCAGCCATCTTATCTTTATAGGATTTTTATAGTTAAACAGAATGGATTTTTATTTTTGTAGCTTGTAACTTCAATATGTATAGTAGTTATTTCTATTTAGTTATTAGTGATCAGAATACTGTAAAAATGTTACTTTTAAGAGCTGTAACTTTAAGTCAGTAATAACTACTTGCAAGAAAATACCAGCATGTTAACAGTTTACAAAAAAAAAAAAAAAGTTGTTATTTAGCTTGAAAATACTGTGATGCTGTGACTTGGGATTTGTATTGAATGTGTTTATGCATATATTCTGAAGTTGCACGAAATAGGAAAATAATGAGCTTAAAATGTAGTAGATTGAAAAGTAGAATTTGTAACATATTAGGTTTTATTTAAACTGAGAAAGATGACCTTTTGCTTTCCCACAGAACAGTAAGGAAGGAGCAATCATCAGTGTACTCCTGACAGAACAGTTCTTTCCTTATGGTACAGTTTGAGATATGTATTATTTAGTGCCCAAACATAAGCAAAAGCCATCTTCACTTTTTCTTTCTTCTCAGAAAACAGAAACTCAGAGCAAACCTGACTGCTTGCAGCTGTAAAGTATATGAGATCTTCCTTACAAAGAAACAACCAGCCAACATCCTATTCAACCTCCAGCGTAGATGTTTAAAGTCAAAATTTGCTAATTTTTTCTTGACATCAAGTGATGCTTTCAAATCCCAAATTGTTTTTCCTTTGTTTTTTAGAAGGCAGGCTGAAATGAGAGGATAAGGAGGTATTACTGTAAAACTCTCAGTCATAAAAGCTAGGAAGTGTGTTCTTTACTTGCTGCGGAGGCACAGGAAGTATGTTTGTGGAACGTCTCAGAAAAGTCTCTGCTTGCATCCTCATTGGCTTCAATCAGTATTTCTGAGGTGGGTGATAATGCCATTGCCCCCAGTAATTGTGACGTTGGCTCAAATCATGACATGTGGATGGTGTGTATTATTTGAGTGCTTGGGCCAGGTTCTGTCTGTAAGAAGCTGCAACTTCAGTGATCACAGAACTCCTCTCAGTTCTGTGGTGGTACTCCACATGAACACAAGCGAAACTGAAGAAAACTTTGGTCTTCAGTCAGTTGTATCATGGCCTGTCTCTTGTGACTTAAGCTCCCAGAAGGCTCTTTTGAGAAACATCTGTTCCATACTCCTCATAGAAGTTTGTAAATGCAGATTTTTTCACAGCACTGACTCTGTTACTGAATTTCCTAATACATCTTTTTGTTGTCTTGTTATTTGTACTATATTTCTCTGTAGATTAAGGTGTGTGGATTAAAGTATTTAAACTCAGTTTTTCCTGTTCCTCACAATGCATAAAAGCAAATGTGAGTTTCAACTCCAACAACCTCGTCATGTCAACACTAACTGCCTGGCTTTTAGAGGGCTTACAGCTTGGTCATTTTGAGAACAGGGTTGGATTTTGTTTAACACTGCAGCCATGCTTCTGCCTGACATCCCTGCTGCAAAGTCCAAGTGTTTGAAACCTCAGATATATGGAAAAGTTTCTAGACAGCATGGTAACATCCTTCAGAGCTAAAACTAATACTGTTTGGTAACTTACAAAGATGTCTCAGCAGCTGCTTGCCCATTTCTGGTTCATCCTTCTCCGGGAGGTATTCACCCCTGGGGAAAAGCGGAGTTTGTATGGCTTTGTAATAGATGTGTTCAAAATCATTTTAAAACCCCAGGCTTCAATAGTAAGATAAAATGTCTAGATTGTTCCCTCTCACCAACAACATCAGTGATTTGTAATCCTGAAAAGGTTTCTGACGCACACTATTTAGTCTAGGGGGGGAAACAGGCCTACAACTTTCTTATCTGTAAAGAGCGATTTCTGAGTAAGAGTTTGAACAGGAGACGTTTTGGTGTTAATATAAACAGGAGGCGGAGGGGCTGCTGAGCACAAGTCAGCAAAGTACATGCAGGGCCTGCTGCAGAAAGGGGACACGCTGCTGCTGGAGGACATTCAGGGATCAAGTGGCTCAATGCTCTCTCCTGATGGCAGCAGATGGGGGTTAGTTTGGGCTTTTGGAAGTGAATAAATCCTCCTCTGGGGCCACTTTATCATAGTGTCAGTTCCCTCCCCAAGTCCTCTCCTCTGTTGCCTGCTCTCATTTGCACAAAAGAGAGAACGGGCTCTGGCCTCTTAGCTCCTATACTATGCCACAATCAAACCTTTTAAAGACTATTTGTGTGTTGTTTCCCATTCAAGATGGGGTCAGAGCATAGATATTCAGCTGTTTTTTTCTTAGATGGGTAAGACAATAGCTTCACGGAGCTTTGAGGATCACTGGCACTAATGTTTAATACAAGACCTAGGTTTAATGCATTTTTAAATGTTTTTAGAACTGTTGGAGCGAACCATGCACAGCACCAACCTGAGCCAGGCGTTAGCCTGAAGTTGTGTAGGAAGTCACGCTACAGGTACATGTGGGGAGGAGCACCACATCTTGGAAAAGTGCAAGTCAAGACTGAAATTCTATTTCTGTCTTGATAATAAAAGTAAAAATGTAAAATATGAGGTGAAATGCAAAGTAAGGTGGTTACGTGGGGGTCCAAATAAGGTTCAAGGATTTAAACCCCTGAGCGCTAAAACTCTCATTTCAGGATATTTCTCCTAGCAAATACCTTTTCTCATAAGGAAAAGCCCTGATTGCAGAAACGCAAGCAAGTGCTGCTCTTCCCTTGTGCGTCCGTAGGCAAGGCGAGAACACGCTGCGCACCGCAAGGTAACAGATGGCCCGAGGGTCCTGGTGGCCGCGGGCGGGGGGGGGGACAATGCCGAGCGGACCTCAGCATGTGCCACCCAGCAGCGCCGAGGGCCATTGTCCCCGGCCCGCTGCAAAATCCTGATTCCACGCTTAGGGGCTGCAGAAAAGCGCCTCGCTCGCTCAGACCTGCGGAAGATCAGCTCCCCGTGTCGTCCATTGAAAATCTGGAAAGGGCAATGCATATAGAAATCTAATTACTGGCAGGCACAGCCTGGCTTTTCGCATGATAATTGCGGGCCCTTGCGCTTTCTTGTGCAGGGACCCCTGAAAGGTACTCGTGAAAGCAGAAGTTAAAACTATTGAATTTCCATCAATCATTCAATGTTTGCTTTGATTATGTTGACACGATTTTTGTTTGTTCCTAAACCGCACTGAGAAACTGTTATTAATCACTTTTAAATGTTTGAAAGACAAAGGAGGGGACTAAGGTAGAAAGGGGGTAAGAAAACAGCAACGCGGCGATGATGGCAAAGCCTCGCTGTTGTACCGCCCCCCCCCGCCGGTTCGGGGTTTTGTCTTTCCGTGGCGCTGACGAACCCGAGCTCCGACGGGGACCCGCGGGCCCCGGGACCCCCTCCCCTCTCCCGCCCGCGCATATAG